CTCTGGAAGAAGTGGCTGCAGCAGGCAAGGACACTCCAGTGTGCCTTGAACACCAGGCCTCCCACGTCCAGGGTGGCATCGCAGTACTGGCCCTTCTCTCGCTGCTTGTTGAGCTCCTGCAGAACCCTCACACTGTGCTGGATGAAGGAGCCGTCCATGGTCTGTCTGGAGGAGAGGAAGGTAGAAGTGACATCCTGGCAAGCCCAACCCAGGAGTAGCAAGGGGAAGCCCCTGGACTGGGGAGAACAAAAGGGGAGGTGGACGGTACTCGGTCATGTTTATCTCAACGAGGGCTTAGGTCAACGTTAGAGGAAGTCAGCTCAGACAGGAATGGATTGAACACCTCCCTGGGAGTGGGAGCCAGGTGAGCAGGCCATACTGGGTGGGCCAGAGACAGTGTGTGGCGGGGGCACAGACGGACTAGGTTGGGGACGGAAGCATGGCTTGGCGGAGAACAGGACAGGGTCGTGAAGAGGTGCGGGTGGAAGGAATCAGTGTGGGGGAAAGAGACGGAGAATCAGAGCGAACTGATCGGCCTGGCAGAGCGAGGGGACCCGTGGCAGGGAAGCTGCGGGTGCGGACAGGTGAGCAGAACCCACGCCGTGCCGACACGTCCGGGGCGGCCGGGCGGAAGGCGGTCGCAGTCACACTCCAGTTGGCGGCCACGGCGGCCCGCAGCCCTTCCCTCCCACACCCTGCTGCCTCCGAACGCCTCACCCCGGCCTGTTCTCCCTGCGACGGCCCCACAGACCCCGGACCTCGCCGCCTCCAGAGCCCCACTGACCAACTGCCGGGGCGGTACGCGCCCGGCCGACCGTACGGAGACGCAGCCGTCGCCGCCGCCGCCGCCGCCGCCGGACGTGACGTCAGGGAGCGCCGGACGCGCTGGGAAACCAGGAGGTACAGGGCTTCTAGCTCCGCCCCTGGGGCGGGACCAGGCAGAGAACGGCCAATGGTATGGGGAGAGGGGGCTTGGCCCAGATCGCTCTGCCAGGGCTGACGTCCCCGAGTTGCTTAGCAACGTCAAGCTGCGCCCTCGGCGCTGGGGCCGAGTGCCTGGGTTCCGGCTGCGGTCGGCTCCCGCGGCGTCCGCAGTTGAGGAGGCAGCGCCCCACCCTCGCTTCAGACAGCTAGAGCAGCCAGGACGCATGTTTCACCGCTTTATTGGCAGCTCGGAGCCTGGACTGGACTCCCGTGAGCGTACACTACCCGAGCCTAGACAGGAGTCCAAAAGGCCTCCCGGAGGGCGCGGGGCCCGCTCGCCTCGCTCGACCTTCGACCCTCAGGGCAGGGGAGGCGCCCCTACCCCACCTTCTACCCCTTCACCCCCCACCCCCCACCTCCCCGGCTAGGCCCTGCCCGCCCCACTGGTCAGGTGGAGCCGCAGCGCCTCGTGTACTCCTGGATGGAGGCCTGGAAGTGCTCTGTGCTGTTGAGATCTGGGCGGCACAGGATCACGTAGCACTTGGGGAGGAAATAACCGCTGAAGCCGCCACTCAGGCTGCTCAGCGCCGCCAGCACGTTGACCGCGGGCAAGTACTTGCCCTGGTAGACGCTGGCCGTGGTGAAGAAGGCAATCCAGGACACGAAGTTGAGCAGCAGACTAAAAGTGACACATTTGGCCTCGTTGTAGTTCTCTGGCAGGTCCTTGCCCAGGTAGCTGCAGGCAAAGGCGCTGACGGACAGGAGGCCATTGTAGGCGAAAGCCAACATGAAGCCCGGTGAGTTGGCCTCTGTGCAATCAAGCACCACCAGCTGAGGGAAGCGCTGGTACTCCCTGGTGGGCAGTGGGGTCCACACCGCCAGCCAAGTTAGACAGATGAGCAGCTGGGCCATTGAGCTGATCACCACAAACAGGCCAGGACCGTGGCTTTGGACCCAGGCACGGTAGAAGGTGGGTACCTTGGCAGAAAGCTTGAAGATGAAGACCAGTTGGAAGGAGCGGATGGTCAGGCAGGACAGGAAGATGGCAAAACCCAGGGCAAGGAGGCTTTGGCGCAACAAGCATGTGGGCAGCGTGGGCTCCCCAAAAAAGCCATAGAGCCCACAGCTGCCCCCTGCCAGGGAGCCCAGCATGAAGAAGCACAGTCGGCCCCCAGCAGACTTCACCACAGGGGTGTCTAAGTGCCAGGCAAACAGGCCAGCAGTCCCAGTCACCAGCAGCAGCAGCAACGTATTAGCTGCCAGCAGCACCCAAGAGATGGTCTCGTGCCAAGTCAAAAACACCACGGTGCGTGGAAAGCAGGTTTCACTTCCCGCAGGTGCCCACTCTTCTTTCCCACAAGGCTGGCAGCTGTGGAGGTCTGGAAGAAAAGGGGGAGGGGGCTCCTGAGAGCTAGATGAGCAGAGCAGGAATGAGGAAGGGAAGCCATGTAGGCCTGCAAGGTGCTGGGAGCGCTGTACCACAGAAGCCGGGCTCCTACTGCACACAGCGAGATAGGGGGTAGCCCTGAGTGGGGCCCCGCGGCCAAGTGTTTCCTCCAGATGCCTGTGTTAATTGCAGATTCTGGAGACCCTTGGGTAGGTTCTGTATGGCTTATGATCCCAGAAGGGGCTTGCAAACCAAGAGATCCTTAGAGAGGGCCTTACTCTGGTAGCTCTGCCCACATGCCAGTGAGGCTATGATCCAATAGGAGCAACCAGCCCCACAGGAAGGGCATTTTCATCTCCCCAGCACTTGCATTACCCAAAGCCACCTATCTGTGCTGCCATTCTGTGGTTTCTCTGACTCTCTGAGAACAGAAGAGATGTGTTCTCATGCCCACAGAGATAGTAAAAGGAAAGAACGTGGCTCACAGAGTCCAGCTCTGGGCTGAGCCCTTAGCTACCTGAGTTTGCTCTCTGATCTTGACCTTGCATCATCACTGGGTGGAGTATGCTATGTTTCTTGTCTGCGGATACAATAGTATCTGCATCAAGGCCAAGCTGTCCAAGGTGCTGGCTGTCTTTGGCAGGGGCAATGGAAGGGACTTCACACAGACAGCATGGGAGGGGACAAGGGAACATAACTACATCTGTTGGCATAAAAAGGTTGAATTTAGGATAAGATTGCATCTGCATCAGGAGCCCTCTAGTAAAAGACATAGGGGACCTGAGGATTTCAACTGGTTGTTGGTTTCTGCTTCATCAGAACTCAGTCTGGTGGCAAATATTCTACAACCTGTACCTCAACTGGCAACAGAGGGAGCAAGGCTCTGGTTCTGCACATGCGTGGCCCAAGGGAGATCCCCTCATCTGCCATACAGACCCTGGGAGTGCCCAGTCATTCTCCCACTCATTTGGACACTCACCGCTCTTGTTGAGGAAGCTCCCGGCCTCACAGGGCACACACTGAAAGCAACAGTGGTAGAAACCCGAAATCACTCGCTGGTGCCCTTCGAGGCAGTCGCTGGAGCACACAGACTTTGGCACCTGCAAGAAGCCACAGGTGTTCTGGAACCACATGGAGTGGCCCAAGTCAAGGGATGCTCACATGGCGAAGGGGAATCTCCGTGCATCTGCCCTCACAACTCACTCCCAGGGCACAGCCCCTGGTTGTGTATACCAGCTGCAGCCGGCCATCTGTGTGCGGTCTGTGGGGCTTCCCTGGCAGGGCTGGATAGAGCCACGTTGGCCTGGCACCCGGGGCCCCCTCCTGCTCCGTGTGAGCTGTGTCGACAGTGACTTCAGGCTCCAGGCTGCCCGTAAGGCGGTGACTTGGTGAGTGACCGTGGCTCCATTACCTGGTTGTCCTTCCCGTGCCACCGGATTTTGGTTTTATTTATGTCCAGCTGAACTGGAGGCCACATGGAGGAGCCAATGACCCTGAAGTTCCACTTGGGGCCACTCCAGTCCCAGGCAATTATGTCGTAGCCACTGAGAGGGTCCCCGTTGTCATTAAACCTCACGGTGTCCTTGTGTAGGAGGAAATTCACCTTGTGGATCTGCTCCAGAAGCTGAGATAAACAGGGATCATGGAGCAGCCACAGATGACGCAGGCTGCTCCTCCTCAACTCTCCCAGACCCGGAAGGCTTAGGAAGCAAATGCTTCCATTTGGGTGGTTTCAGTCTGTCTGGAAATTCAGAGCCCCCTCCCTTCCAAGGAAGCCCCTCGACCCTCCCAACTGGCCTCCTGAGTGAGAGGAAGCTTCTAAAAAGGCCCCCTTTCCAGAGATTTTTAGCCCTGGGTCTGGAGCATGGTGGTGGGAGGGGCCGAGGTCAGAGAAGTGAAGCCCAAGAGAAGGAATTAGCCTTCTGGTGGGTGGCCTTTGTCCCCCACCCCCGGCACTCTGTTGGCCAGAGAGGGATCACTCTGTTTGCCTTAGGAAAGCACCCCGTTTCAGGGTGCCGGGGTCTGGGCTACCTTACCTGCCAGGGGTAGACTCGGTCCCTGGAACAGGCTCCAGAGGCACAGCCCAGGAGCTGGTGGAGGCCATGGGCCACTGCGTAGACTGCCCGGTAGGCGTTATAAGCAGAGCTCATGGAGAATGCCCCGAGCGTGGGCATCTGCTCTGCCGTGAAAGCCCGACACTCTCTACAGAGCTGGTTGCTGCTGCACTCGGAGGTCCTGGAGCAAGGCCCAGGGGCCCCCTTATCTGCCTGGACATAGGCCTCTTCAAACTCCTTCAGGCCAGGGACAAGCCTCTGCTGGATGGCCACACCCAGCACCGTGCCAATGCCCTGGATCCCGGGCACATTGCTGATGTGTCTAGAGATGGCCCAGTCTTCTGAGGCGATCCACACCTTGGCAGTCAGGTTGGCCAGCACCACCGACTCAAAGAACACCCTGGCCAGCTGTCTGCTGGAGAAAACGACCACAACGGTGGTCCTCGCTCGGGCCAGGTGGTGCATGATGCCCTGCATCCTCTCGTCGCCCGGCCGGGCAGAGAAGGGGATGATGTCCTTGAAGGCAACGCAGATGCCCTGCTGGGTGGCCTGCTCCTCCAGCGCCTGCACCCCCAGCTGCCCGTAGTCGCCGTCGCTGCCGACCACCGAGATCCAGACCCACCCGAAGCTCTGCAGCAGCAGCACCATGGTCTCCACCTGGTGCTTGTCGCTGGGGATGGTGCGCAGAAACGAGGGGTAATGCCGCTTCACTCCGAGCGTCACGCTGCTGGCCTCGTAGCTGATCTGCGGAGGGGGGCCGGGGGGGGGTTTCAGTTCAGCGACTTCAGTGGCCTTGGCCTCAACTCAGGGCCTCCAAGTGCTGGCCCTGTGCTGGGCGCGGGGACCCGAGGAGGAGGGAGACGTGGTCCCAGCCCTGGCCCTCAAGGAGAGCTCTGGTGGACTAGGAGGCCGACCAGCTACATCTAAAGAAGAGGCAGAAACCCAGGGGGAGGTTTGCGGGAGAAGAAGGGGAAGAGAACAAAAGCTACACCCAGTGAGAGAACTGACCCAGGAGGTTGGAAGCCGGAAGAAGGAGCACAAAAGTAGGCGTGTCTGGTCAGGGCAGGAGGCCTTACTCCTGGCAGTAAGGTAGCTAAGATCCTTGGTCTTTATCTGCAGGCCCTGGGGAGCCCCTTAAATGTCTAGGCAGAGAGGTAATCTGCCCAGACTTGTGTTTCAGGGGTGTATCTGATTTCAGTGAAGAATGTGTTAGAAAAGGCTCAAGACCAGAGTCGGGAAGAACTCCCTAGGAGACTGCTGGAATCATCCCGAAGAGACAGCTTGGCAGCCTGAGTTCGAGCCGTGGCAGCGGTGACGGAGAAGAGGGATGGGCCCGGCAGCTCATAGAAGGTAAAAGCAGAGGCCGTGGTGGTGGGGGAAGGAGGAATGTAGGCGGCGCACCGGGTTCCTGGCTTGAGGCTTGAGTGGAGGTGGTCACTCTTTTTTTAAAAAAAAAAATTTGTTTTTTTCAACGTTTATTTATTTTTTGGGACAGAGAGAGACAGAGCAGGAACGGGGGAGGGGCAGAGAGAGAGGGAGACACAGAATCGGAAACAGGCTCCAGGCTCCGAGCCATCAGCCCAGAGCCCGACGCGGGGCTCGAACTCACGGACCGCGAGATCGTGACCTGGCTGAAGTCGGACGCTCAACCGACTGCGCCACCCAGGCGCCCCTGAGGTGGTCACTCTTAAGGCAAGTGGGCAGGAAGCAGAGAGGCTGGAGTTGTATAGGGAGGTAGGTTCAGCCGGGGGGCCCGCTGGATGCACGAAGTGGAGACCCCGGAAGAGCAGCCAGAAATGAGGCTCGGTGCTTAGAACTCACGACAGAAGCGAGGGAACGGGCGATGGAGCCGTGGGGCCACGGCCTGTGGAGAGGTTCTGAATGAACCGCCCCAAGATCTGCCACCTGGGCGTGTGGGTTAATTTCCAGTTGAAAATCATTAAAGCGCAAAAGACCCGGGGGAAACTTTGTCCTTTCCCCTAACCGCCCAAAAGAATTTAGAGAGCTAAGCTGCCCCAGGTTCAGGAGCTTCACCACAGAGAATTACATTACAATAGGAACTAGGCGAAGTAAGCAGGGGTGGGGGTGGGGGGAACCTAGCAAAGTCCCATTTGTTAAAATTCCTCTCCATGTCCCGTGGTTTCTGGATGGCCCAGCAAACATTGTGTAATACACATTCACTCTCTCTTCTCCTATGAATTGTCTTCCTTTCCTTTGAAGTCTGACCCCTACCCACTTCTCCATAGTTCAGGATAGCAGATAAGCCTCACTTTGCCTGTCTTTGAACCTCTCGTGTTTATGTGGATTCCCTGTACATACGTGATTTTGACTTTCTCCTGTTCATCTGTGTCACATCAACTTAATCTTTAGACCAGTCAGAAGAATCTTGAAGAGTAGGGAAAGTTGTTTGCTCCCAGCACCTGCCTGGGAAAGGGAGCGGTCCTGCACTCTGGGAATCATCCACTTTTTCAGAAGAGGGGGGGGAGGAGATTCTCCAAAGGAGACTGAGAAGGAGGAGGAGGAGAAGGAGGTGCCACAAGTGAGAGGGAGGTGGCAGGTCATAAATGCCGAGGCAAGAGCGTCACTGAAGGACTGGTCAAATTTGTCACAAAGTCGTCATGTCAAGCAAAGCAGGGCTGAAAAGCATTTGCTGGACCTGGAGATCTAGAAAGCCCTGGAGATCACAAGAGCAGGAGTGGTGGTGCAGCAGTCAGGGCAGGGGCCCGGGAAGCAAGTGATGAGAGGGAGAAGCAAACAAGAAGAGAGAGCTCAGTGCACAAGTTTCCACGGAACGAGGTTCAGAGAGAGGGCAGCGCTAAGACCACAGGTGCCTGGAAGACGGAGAGGGGTAAAGCCAGCTTATAGGCGGAGGAGGAAGCCTAGGACAGGCCTACAAGAAGAGGAGAGGGTGAGGCCCGGGAGGACAGCATTGGAGGGGGAGGGGGACCACACCTCTGAGCCTGAGCTGGGAGGGAGGGAAAGAGGACCAGAAGGAGGAGGGCGGGGAGAAGTGGACAAGTGTGTGAGGTGGGAAACAAAGGGGGCGGAGCAAAGGGCAGCAGTTTCAAAGGAGACGGTTTTTCTCAGGACATTGAGGCAGGGAGGTCTGGATGCAGCACTTGGGGAGGAAGGGAGGCTGGGGTGGGGACTGTGAAGGGGGCAGGGCCCCCTGCAACGTGACCACCCAGGAGACCCAGGGGGCCAGAGTGGGCATGGCAGCTCTTGCCCAGCCCCCCCCCCCCCCCCGCCCCCAGCCCACGCTGGACCTGCCGGCAGGGGAGATGGACAGGCCCCCGGGCTCCAGCTCACCAGGGGCACCAGGAAGGGGCTCAGCAGGGCTGCAGTGGTGGCTGCGTGGTTGGTGGTGTCAGGCCCAATGACAGCCAGGGCGGCAGGCGAATAGTGGGAAGGGTCTGCTCGGATCTCTATGTGATGTGTCCCCAGCAGGGAGAGCACGTTTAGTGTGGCATACACGTTGGCAGACTCCGAGCACACGTCGTACAGCTGGTATCCCAGGGTGACATTCGGCAGGAGGGCCGTGGAGTTGTTTATCTCCTCGATGCCAAACCGCATGGCCTGGAAGAGGTGGTAGCCGTGACCGTTGAAGCTGTCGGGCCTGTAGAGAAAGCCAAGCTGAGAGCTCAGAAGAGCAAGGCCTTGCCGAGACCCTCTTGGCGTCGGGGGTGGGGGGAAGTGTAGAAAGGAAACTCTGAGGGCATCGGTCCCGTCCCCTACCACCATGACCTCACTGTGGGCCCTGTACCATACACTCAGCTGTGTTAACAGGCCTTTGGGTGGGCGGGGGGTGGGGGGGTGGGGAGGGGCGGTAACAACTTGGAGAAACCACAAACCATTCCTCCCTGGATGAGCATATTAGTGTTGAAAGGCTGATGAAGTCCTGTAGCAGGGAAACCTGCTGCGTGAGTCAGGGTTCTGCAGAGAAACAGAACCAGTTGGATAGAGAGAGAGAGAGAAAGAGAAGTTTATTTTAAGGAATTGGTTCACATGATTGTGGGGCTGGCAAGTCTGGCGTTTGCAGGGCAGGCTGGAAATGCCCTCAATGGTCAAAGCTGCAGTGTTGAGTTCGAAGGCAGAATTTCTTCCTTTTTGGGGGAACCTCAATCTTTTCTTTTAAGGTCTTCAACTGATTGGATGAGGCCCACCCACACAATGGAAAGCGATCTGCTTTACTCACCCTGTTGGTTTAAATGTTAACCATCACAGCCCCATCTAGACTGGTGTTTGGCCAAACAACTGGGCACCATACCCTAGCCAGGTTGATGTATAAAATTAACCACACACCTGTCGAACCTTGTTTACCTAGTATCTCTCTCATCAGGACACTTGTGAACGTGGTGAGGGCCTGTGTTCCTCAGTGCCTCTCGGGAGCTGCTGACTGGATCCCAACAGGAACACGGTTCAGCTCTGCTTGAAGAGTGTGCTAGCACGTTTCACTTTCCAGCCCTTCTGCTTGTTAGAAGGGTCTTCTATCATTTCTATCACTTGTGTCTATGAGTCCCTCAGAGGGAGCTCATTGCCTCCCACGGTGACACCTTCAGAAGCGGACATCCATGTGTCTCCTCTTCCCCAAGTCTCCTCTACCTGGGCTCCTATCTGTAGCTCTTTGGGCCAGTCCTCATGCGCCAGACTCTCCAGAACCTTCTTCCTCGAACCCTGGCTGTTTGCCTTGGCCTTCCGGGCCTGCGGTCCTACTCAGGAACCGGGCAGGGTGAAGGCACAGGTGCAAGCCAGGTGGCGGCCGCTGCCCCTCCCTCTGGATGGTTGTGGCTTCTGCTCTCGCTCTGGTGCCTGTGGCTTCACCCGGCTCAGAAAGGGAGCCCAGGCGTCTTGAGGGTAGAGGTGACTGTCAGATGTGCGTCACGTTTAAGGCATCCTGCCACTGAGTCCCAATGCATCCTCGAGCCTCCCAAGCCTGTGACTTGCACAGATGGCAAATAACTATCTTCTTTGGGAGGGAAACGTATTTTTCTCTATTAGGCTGTCAACTTCCCAAAGGCAAGGCACCAATCTCAGGTATCTTTGCTAGGTTCCCAAACCATATACTCCCAGTGCCTTCCCTCTCCTCCTCACTTGCCATCGGGGAGACACAGGAGTTTGAACCTGGAGAGGAGTGGGGAGGACACGAAAGCAGGGGAAAACCTAACTGCCTACTTACGTCCCAAAGCCCAGAAATGACCGGAATGGGATTATAATACAAAGCACTCGAACAGCCAGGACAAAATCACGTATTACAAAGCAGAACCTGGGCAGAAGTGCCAGGGAAGGCCCAGCCAAGGCTTGAAGGTGGTGACCATAGGATGGGGAGGGATGGGAGGCGGCTCGGGAGGCAGGAAGGGCAAGATCCTCACTGAGGAGGACAGAGGATGGGCAGAGGTCCTAGAGGCACAGGACCCCTCACTCACCTGTCACAGAGGGTCACCGTGGGCCAGTGCCTCACGCCCGGACAGTCAGAGTGCAGAGGGAACAGACCTGCGAGGAGGTAATCCCCAGGGAGGCTGAAGTCGGCAGACGTCTCTGTGCTGTGGCAGCTGAGAGCCCAGCAGCAGGAGAGAGAGAGCTGCAGGCCGACCAGGTGAGCCGCCGGGAGTGACATGCTGGCCAGTCCGTCCTGTGCCTGGCATGGCCAGCCAGCACCCTCTGACCAGCTCGGCTGTTTAAATAGCATAGACAGCGGCTGCCCAGATGCTTCCCAACTTCACGCCTGTGCCAGGGGTGGGGCTGGAACCCAGTCGTAGGAACCAGGCTGTTTGCCTTGGCCTTCCGGGCCTGCGGTCCTACTCAGGAACCGGGCAGGGTGAAGGCACAGGTGCAAGCCAGGTGGCGGCCGCTGCCCCTCCCTCTGGATGGTTGTGGCTTCTGCTCTCGCTCCGGTGCCTGCGGCTTCACCTGGCTCAGAAAGGGAGCCCAGGCGTCTTGAGGGGTAGGGGTCAGAGGAAGGCAGGGACACTGCTTCTCTGGGGGACAGAATGTGGAGGGAGCTGTGGGTTTTAGAACTTTTTACCTGGGCCTCAGTTTACCAAATGAGACTGACTTTAAGTTGACCTCCTCCCAGTCCTCAGTTTTCTGACACTGAAATTTTGGGTGAATCATCCTGGGTTCGCCTTTTCCAGGGTGTCCCCCTTCAGCCCAAAGACAACTGCATGCAAACACGGTATGCAAATAGACTGGTTTTGTTTAAACTGCCAATCCTGGCTCTTTTTCTCCCAGAAAAAAAAAAAAAAAAA